AAAGGCCAATAGTATTTTCTGATGAACTGATAAGTTTAAAAGCTGATAACATATTTCTGAGTCTTCCAAGCCAAGGAGTTAACAAACTCTTGAGATTTGTAAAAATTCATTTTAAACATAGAACTTGACAAGGTGCCATTAGTTTATCAATAGTCAATAATACATGAGACTATAATTTTACCATTAACAGAATTTGCAGAGAAGCACAAAAACCCGACACGGACTTTTCAGGACGGATGCAGGAAAAGTGTCAGCACCTTGTTAAGGGTGTTGACACCTTGCAGCTCATGCTACACATCTTTCAGCTCATGCTCAACCTCTGCCCCTCGTGTTCAAGTTCTACACTTCGTGCTTGGCCTCTTCAGCTCATGGCTGACCTCGACAGTAAGTGTTTGAGCTTTGCAGCTCGTGCTCAAGTTCTGCACTTCATGCTCGACCTCAGCAGTGTGTGTTTGAGCTCTACAGCTCGTGGTTGACTTCTGCAGCTCATGTTAAGCTCTGCAGTTCGTGATCGACCCCTGCACTTTGTGCTTGACCTTCGCAGCTCATGGTTGACCTCGGTAGCTCGTGTTTGAGCTCTACAGCTCGTGATTGAGTTCTGCACTTCGTGCTTGACTTCTAAAGCTCGTGGCTGACCTCGGTTGTAATTGTTTGAACTCTGCAGCTCATGCTCAAGTTCTAAACTTCATGCTTGACCTCGACAGTAAGTGTTTGAGCTCTGCAGCTCGTAGTTGACCTCGGCAGCTCTTGTTTGAGCTCTGCAATTTGTGCTCGACCTCTGAAGCTCGTGGCTGACCTTGGCTGTAAGTGTTTGAACTCTGCAGCTCGTGCTCAAGTTCTGCACTTCGTGCTCGACCTTTGCAGCTCATGGTTGACCTCAGCAACTCGTGTTTGAACTCTGCAGCTCATGGTTGACCTGGGTAGCTCATGTTTGAGCTCTACAGCTCGTGGTTGAGTTCTGCACTTCGTGCTTGACCCTGCACTTCGTGCTTCAGCATCCTGCACCTCAGACTTGTGCATTTCCCAACTCGTGATTCAGCAATTATCATCTCAGACTTTTACAGTTCGCAGTTCGTACTCAAGCAAGATGCTTGCAGCTCGTGCTCCAGCATTTCGCAGCTCATGCTCAAGCAAGATGCTTGCAGCTCCTCATTGTCGAGCTTGAGTAATGGAGCTTAGCCATAGTCAGCTCGGCCATAGCCGCTTAGTCTTCTTCTGTTAGTGGAACCATAGGCTCTTGTTTCCTAGCAACTGATTGGATTCTTACTTAAGTGACTTTAGGCTACGAAATAAAGGATGACAATATTGCTAAGGCTTCTTCCCGAATTGCCTAAAAGTACTTACTTTCTAGCCAGCTAAGTACCTTCAAAATCAATTTTCATTAATTACATATATGTAAAGTAGAAACCAAAATGCAAAGTTGTAAATGCAGAAAACCAATATCTAGAATCGAATCCTTTGGAAGGAGAACAGTAAAATCCAAAAAGCTAAAAAGAAAAAAAAAACATTATGGAGAAATTAAAATCTGGGGAAAAAAAAAAAGACTTTTGAGTAGGTTTTCAGAGGGTTGCAAAAATGTCATAGATTTTACTTCCTGAGATCTGGTGAAACTTGTGCAGATGGTTGTAGAAAATGAAAGAGATTTTATTCGAAAATGATGTAATCTTAGAAAATATGGAGTAATGGAGACAAGAATGAAGGGAGTGAAAGTAGTGGACGCTGGAAAAACAGTTGTTTGTGCAGTGAAATTAAGCAGTTGGTTTGCTGAGAAAGGCTAAATGGTGTTGGACTACCTTGCTTCTACCGAGCTGGTGCATTGCTTTGAGCTTTGCCGCTGCCGAGCTGGACTGCTTTGTTGCTGCTGAGCTGGACCGTTTGGTTGCTGCCGAGCTGGGCTACTCTGCTGCTGCCATCAAGCTTGAGCTCATATTCTCACTGAGGACGCCACGTTTGCCCGTGCTCTTCTTTTTTTTTTTTTTCTCTTTTTGTGGATCCCACTAAGTTACCTTAAGCTTGTGTTTTGCCGACATTTTTTTGCTTCTTGAACACTCATGGCTGACATTGTACTATGCCTCGATAGTTGTGCAAAGCTACTCCTTCGTTTGTTCTCTTGTGAAAGCTTTTCTTCTTCGCAGGCGAATAGACCCCTTTCATCACATTTGCTTCTACAAATCAAGTGTAAATTCATCAGATCTGCTTTTGCAACTCAAGTGAATAGGCCATGAGGCCTTCACTCGTCTTTTCCACCCTCCAATCAATCAGAACAACATAGAAATAAAGTTTTTTATTCGATTCCCACATACAGCACCAATGTTGTTGCAGAAAACCTTCAAGGCCTTCCTTGCTCAGATCTTCTCGTTCAATAAACCTACAAAGCCCCGAGGGTGGCCCTCGGGGTAGACACTCCGATGTTTAAATCAGCAATAGTCTACACTTGGAGCTCTTTAAAGAGAATGGAGTGTATTAGAAAGAAATACTGAAGGAGAAGTCCCGTACCTTTGAGGGGTGTGGGGGTATTTATAAATCCTTTGGGAATGCTTGACGCGTGTTGCACTTCTATTGGTCCCTTTGGATCTATTTGAGTGTATATGAGCTCCATAGTAACTTATGCATGTGCTCTTTTGTATTTGGGCCTCATGGGCTTTCACTATGTTTATGGGCTAGTTATATTACTATCCTTACATGTACCTCATACAATTAGGTCAATGTTTTAGTTCTCAAAATATTTAGCGAGATTTACCTTGCATTCTGGCTTGTTAAGCATGTAAGTTCTACCATAAACAGCACTTAAACGAGCAAACGCCAATCAAGAATAACATAATAGATGTCAAAGAAGAAACTTAGATTTCTTCTAACCTAGAAAAAGAAAATACTAGTTGGAACCAAACCTGAGGTAGTTCTCCTAGTCCATAGAGTGGATAAATATAAGGAGATCCTCCTTGAAATCGTGCCAAAGATTTTGCATAAAGCTTTAGAAACAAACGCAAAAGTGCTTAGAATATAATCATAATTCAAAACGGAAAAAAGAAAGATATCTGGGGGCTATGAAATCACAAGATCAAGTAGAAAGTATAGAAAGAAATCCTATTAAAGGAAAAATTGTAATAGTTATGGTGACCAAAGTAGTATTTGGTTGTACAGAAGCCTACAAGCAATAAGCTAAATCTACTTCCCTTGTGTATTGTAGATGATTGATGACTTTGTTTGGTTACTAATTTACATCATATGATAGTTTTATGGGGTTAAATAAAATTATCACGTGCATTTGTATCAAAATTCAGCTTCAGAACTCCTAGCATACACATATAATTTACCTTCATTCTCTTGACAAAATCTAAAGCTGGTTGGTCCATGTAACCATCATTGATGTGGAGTGCCAAGGCATGGCCAATGAAGTCGATTGTATCATCTTCCAACCCATACTTTCTACATAAAAAAAAAAAGGAAAAGAAAGAAAAGAAGAAAAAATTAAAAAGAAGAAGAAGACAGAAGCAAGATATAAAGGAACTTAAAGATCATACTTGTAAATTACCATACCAAAAAAAATAAAAAAGTTAGATAAAACTACGCTTTAAGGATAGAATACACAAACATATAACTTCAAGACATTGAAATTATTTAATAAATAAACAATTGAGCTCCCCATGGAGGCATGTTTCACATTTCATTTGAAAAGAATAGAATTAAGAGATCATGATAATTGACATGGACCAAATATGCTGAAGCTCTAGAAAAGAACTGGTGAAAGGCTAATCACCAGGAAAAAAAATGTTTTAGTTGAACGCCCAGGCAAATTTAAATAAAAAATAGAATAACAATTAGAAATAGATATCAACCATCTATCTTTGATCATTTTTCTAAATCTAATACCAATAAAACAAATACTAGCTAGATTCTCTCATCTTAACATGTTTCAAGTTAAATTCTTTAGCTATGGGAAAACATGAGAAAGAGAAGTAATGGTGAATCTAGATACTTAATTAGAATTTAGTGCGGGAATATTATCTTACAAATCCAAACAAAAATTTGAAACTGGTATATAGGATGTCCATCCAGGATACAAGAACTAATGCTTGTTTGTAGGAAGGAGATGAGAGAGAAACATACGAGATAACCTCTCTAGCAGCAATTTTACTCAAGTCCAACCTTTCATGAGACTTGGGATCATTTTCTTTATAGTCTTAGACATGCATAAAAAATTTTCTGGCACAATGCTTCTCAAACAACCCCATCAACGGTGATTTCAATGCTTTTACAACAGTTACTGGAACTTTGTAGATCTAAAATAATGTTAGTTATTTAAGACTTAGAAACAATACATTTCTTAAGAAACGTAAGACGTTTTTAATACCTTCTTTTTGTCGTACACATATATAACTACCATCTACAACCTTAAAGTTGAGATGCTTGGTAACATTAGTGTGGAAGAGAATACGAACCAGACATCCATTCGCCATCATGAACTATAAAAGCAAATTGATTTTCCATAGAGCAATTTAAAGAGGATAAAGATACGAAGTGGTGGATTTTTGAAGGTAACATTTTAGCCATATTCATTAGTTAAAAGAAAATTTTGGCTGAATATACAATCTAAGTAATAGGTACTATAGGCAACAAGATAATGAAGCCTTTTTTTTTTCTTTTTTTTTTTTGGTATAGAGATCCTCAAAAGGTTGGTCTATATATACATTTGGAACCTTGTCAACATTATACTCCCTACTTGAGCCAAGTTGTTCTCGAGGTTTGTCATCCCCCTTAAAACACTTCTAGGGCTATATGACAGTCGAAAAATACTCATGAAAGAGTAAGAGAAAAATTCAGATGAAACAAATAAGATTCTTTTGTACCAAAAAAAAAGTCTTTTATTCAATGATAAGATTAGAATGACCTGTGTGAGATTAAGAGAACTTGACTCTCCTCCATAATAGTCATTTCTATCCATGTGCAATACCTATTTAAATTGCAAATTTATAAAATAGAAAAGTAATGCACAAAATTGACAAAACAATAATAGAGGCGAATAAAAAATGCATCCTAATTTCAATGATGCCCCTCATGTAAATAGAATTTCTTAAAAAAAAGGAAAATGATACATATATCTTGCAAAGTTATATACTTCGTTACACACTAACAATCTTCATTACTATTTGTTACATACTTCCCTTATAACTCCCCAAATGCACCTAGTCCTTTTTTTTTCTCTCTCCTTTCCTTTCTCCCTCTCGTTGTTTCGACCTTAGACACATAAAATAAGTCTATTTTTGGGATGATATAGCAGAAATAGGAGTGCATGTGAGTGGAGCCAATCGACAGAAAAGGGGAAAGAAAACAGAGGAAATTTCTACAGTTTTGGTACTATGTGTAACTTTGTCATTTTGTCCAATCTGCAAAAGTTCACCATTAGATTGAGTTGAAATTTTGTCTAGATGTTTAAGAGACATTGATCTACATTTTAAATGGTCAATTTTTTGTTTGGAGTTTTGTAGGTTCTGATTTTATGCTCAAAACAATAGCTCATTTTTAGTGATATGTTTTTTTGCAGTTTTGGTATTATGCGTAGTTTTGTCATTTTGTCCGATCTATAATAGTTTATCATTGGATTGAGTTGAAATTTTGTTTGGGTGTTCAAGAGATATTGATCTATATTCTGAATGGTCTCTTTTTCGTTTAGAGCTTTGTAAGTTCTGAGTTTGTGCCCAAAATAGTAGCTCATTTTCAATGAACCGTCAGTGTGTAATGGATTAAGTAATAAAGACCGTCAGTGTATAATGAAGCAAGGTATATGTATCAATGTCCTAAGATAAAACTATAAACAAAGTCTACTACAACCCCTCAAAAGCAATGAAAGAAATTTA